GTTCATGGAGTTCCGCCGAGGTCTGCTTGAGGCACAGTCACTAATCTCCCATCCATGTTATTGAAGTTTAAAGGATTGAAGATACAGGCCAGACCAAAGTGAGAATTCAGGTTTCAATGTCATCGTAGATATCACTCTTTTCAGACATATCTCAAATTCAGCTTCAGCTAACATTACTGGACTTTTTGGTCCCTCAGAAATCCATCCAGTATGCAATCGGAAAATGCGGTTAGCAAGTTGCCAGTGTTAAATAGGGAATCAGTTTCAAGCTGCAAACGTACCTCGTTTTTGACTTTGAGAAAACGTTCATATTCGGCAAATGAGAGTCAAAAGGTGTTACCGTAAAAGTTCAGTCGGTCTGATATGGAAATAGGTATCTTCCCTTGAATTAAGCATTACTTCGTCCAGGGTTTTGTAATTGTTGCAAAAAAAGGGTTTAAATAGTGAGGCCTGTTAGGGGAGTGCACGCAGAGTTCTTAGTTTTCTAAATAGTCAGAAACCGTGTTTGTTCGGAATGTTAAGTTTACTCTCGTAGGGAAGAAGCGACCAAACTTCCATTAAAGCCCGGAATACTTACACCATTACGCTGATCTTCTATGGACGTTGTAAATAGAAAGACAAAGATAAACCACCTTGCACCATACCATTAGAGTTGAAGTGGCTGTAGCCCTAACTCCCATGCACGCCACGCCTGAGGACTGACTGCAAGTTACGACCTTCGTTTTGGACAGCCACTGCGAATTCTCAATGCCGCTAAGGTGCACAGATGCCTACGCTTGTCTTCTCGGTCTAGCCAATCGCCTTTTAAGGTTGACTCATACAAAGACAGCGACAGCAGCGGCAGCAGTGCGGCGGAGTGATGTAAATTCTCAAGTTGCGGCTCATTCGACAGAACCCAGCCACACATTCAAATTTGATGAGGCCGAAATTCTCGCAAGAGGTGACTATCGGGTGAGCCAAGAATTACTTGCGTCATGGTTCACGGGCCCCGAATCCATAAACAAGTGCAACGATTTGCCCAATCCGTATTCGTTGCTGAGACTCAATTTAGCCAAAGCAAGTCGCCACTGCCATCCTACGCCAATACCGGAGAAGCAGATGGCCGCGCAATCATCACGCCCGAGTCCACCACGGTGATGAAAGGTCAGCAGGTCGGAGCCCGCATGCCATTCAACAGACCTTCAACTCTCAAGAAGGCAATTACGGTTAATTTTCGTTTTATTTTTGCAGTAATGACTGTATCCTATAAGTACTGCGAACTTCTGTGCATACGCTACCCTATCTGTTACTACTCTCTGACTATGTCTCTAATGCTGAATCCGCA